CAATCTAAGGTCGCCCCACTGGCCAACGGCGCCAATAAATTGTTCACAATACCTATCCAAATTGAAATGTATTTACATAAATATATATATTATAATATATATATATTATAATATATATATTATTACATATATATTGATAATATACATAAATGATAAAGAATATATATTTAAGATTTATGTATATATATCGATATGGATAGGCATTGTAATATATATATAAATGATAAAATATTGATAAAATATATATATTTGATAAAAAATATATATTTAGGGAAATTGATAATAGATGAGTTGTGCAGGACGGACGTGAGGACATGCACGCGTTCGGGCAGTGCGCTCGAGGTCGAGATCGGGACGGCGATGTGGTTCCCGAGCCAGATCGCCCACTGGTTGCGCACGTACGCAAGGTCCTACGTAGAAAGGACGTACATTTCACGACAGAAGATGTCGTCGTCACTGTACCCGATGTGCGGCGAATGCGACGACCCCTGGCGTCGATGGAAGCTGACGAGACAGCGTTAGTGCTTCTCAAAGCAGCGTCCTCGCAGTCGTGCCTGCTGCGTGTGCATCTAACCCAGGATGCCGAAGCACCCCATTCGCTCGGTGCAGCCGCTGGAGGATGATGCTGATAGTTGAAACTCAAGAATGGAGTCGTACTTAAGAGAATCGCTATCTAGTAGTACTAATAGTAAGCTCAAAATCACTGAATTGTACTTCGAAGTAGAACATGCAGAACCTTCGAAATGGGCATCAATTTCTACAAAATTCGTGTCTACTACGAGAAGTACAGTACGGTGAAACGAATATTGAGAACAATAATCACAATGTACTGGTAGTATCTACTATACCAAGTTCATTACATTTTAAACTGTCAAGAAGTATATAGGATTGACATGAGAATAATCGATAGTTAACTAAAGAACGCGATCCCATCTCCTCGAATAGACAGCGCGTAGTTGTCCTTGCTTCGACGCTCGAGGGAGTGCTGGCGGCGGAGTCCCATGCCCCCAAAACCCAGTAAAAACATACTGCGGACCATCTTGGTCTTGTCTTTTCGCTCTTTTTCGTCACCATCGTCGTCACCGGCGTCGTCACCGTGACTAAATGCGTCTTTAATCTTGTTGTCCCAGGACTCGTCATCTGTCGGGCCAGAATCCTCCAAGCTGTCGGTGAGCATGTCCACCACAGTTTCCACGATGAGCTCCAAGACAGCATCGAAGATCCCCCCAAACATGTCGAGAAAATCCATCAGTTGGCCCCCAGCAAAGCACAGTCCCGCGCGCACGACGTTGAAACGGGCCATGGCGCGGCGGAGTTTCGCAGCAACTTGCTCCGCATTCACGTGTTTCGGAGGTTCAAAGGCGTATATGACGCCAGGACACTGCCACGTGGGGCTGTCGTCGCGGGTTCCTGGCGGCAGCACCAGCACGCGGCGGTAAAAGAGGCTCGGGGTCGGCGCTGGCAGGTACGACATGATGATGGCGATGGTCGAGTGATCCGTGGCGTTCTTGATTTTGATGCCCATTATGGTAACTAGTTGGTGGTTGGTGGCAAATGCGAAAATGAATTGATGGAACGATGGCTTGGAGTTGGTTTACTTGTGTGAAAGTTGGTGTACGACCTGGTTTTTGTCCAATTAGAAAATTGGTTTTTGGCCAATTAGAAAATTGGTTGCAATATATCGTGAATTAGTGCAGTCGATCAGTCGAACTACTGGTTGGTACACTGTAGTACCGTAGCCAAATGGTCTGAAATTCGAGTGAAACAACCATATGTTTGTAGTGGACTGTGGTTGTCTGTTCGTGAGGAGTTGAACTCCAGATCACGAAAAGTGCTTGTTTTGTCAATAATTATGGACAAAACGTTGGGATTTATCAATAGAATGTCTTGGTTTTATGATCGGTAGTATGGACGTTTGTACAGCAAGTGTGACGATGGCTGAACTCAGCCATCGTCATGACGCACTATGACGCCAGTCATGCTGTTGATCTAGTACCTGGTATTTGAAGTTTGAAAGAAATTGGATTTGGTAAATCGCGTCAAAAGTGTTGAATGGATGAAAGGACTGGTTCGAGTCAACTAACTACATTATCAAGGACATCGAAGTGCTTTGGAAGTACGATGTCTAAATCAGTGGTAGTGAATATTCACTAGTTTCCTGGTGTAGGCCATCAAATCGACCCATAATACACCCAAGCCACCGCGCCATTCTTGCCAGGATTGGCCTAGTTTCCGTGGCATGTCGTTGGCTTGGCATGAGATGATCATGGTACGCAGCAAGGGAAAAGTGAATTTTTAATGTAACGCCTCGAGCCAGCCAATGTAACTTGCGGAGAGTGTCCTTCCTAGCGGACGTACAATATACTTCGAAGTATACTGGAGTTGTGCTGGGCAAATGACCATCATTTTCAACTCAGCATATCCATTCAAACTTTTGACGAGATTTATTAAATTCAATTTTGGAACTTCTATATCAACTGCCTGGCTGGCGTCATAGTGCGTCATGACGATGGCTGGACTCACACTTGATGCGTAAATCCATGACAATTTATTGATAAACGCCAAGGTTTGCTCCTAATTATTGTCAAAACAAGCTCATTCTAGGATCTGGAAGTAAGGATAGTTCAACTTTGTCGTGATGTTGGTTGGTGGGGTGGCTGCTTCCTTCGCTGTGTGTAGCATGCCATGAATTGCGAGGACTTCACAATATTACATTAGAAGTTCACTTTTCCCTAATCATCTCGACTGTCTGTAAATCATTTCGAACGCCACATTCCACTTACTGCAAACATATGGTCATTTGGCTCCAGTACGCGTCACCTGTGAATCCAGTAAAAAATATGAGGGCCAACATTAAACGATGACCAACTGTGGCCTCCATACATTTCGTCATTTTTGCGAATGTTCCGCAATTGGCTTCGATACGTCGTTTCGTCATGCGCTAAACTATCGATTCATAGAGCGATTTCATTCAGAATTCGTCGTTTGAAGATTTGAATGCAGCGGTTATAAAATTGACAGTGAACCAAATTTGACCCCAAACATGTCGAGAAAATCCATCAGTTGGCCCAAAGCACAGCCCGCCGCGTACGACGCTGCAACGTTTGGGGGGGGGTCGAAGGCGTTGATGATGCCAGGATACTGCCACGTGGGGCTGTCGTCGAAGGAGTCAGCACGCAGCACTTGTGTAGTACCAGTTAACGTTACTTGTAGTGTGTGTAGTTCGTACGTCTAAGAAGTAGATTCGGTACAGATAGACAACTCGTCTGGCCGTTCTGGCCGTTGGACTGTCAAAATCTAAACCAATTTCCTGTCAACGTGTTGATTCATCGAGTCAAGTACTCTTTTCATTTCCGAATTACACGAGCATGCTGCCCAACTTGACCTGCATTATTATTGGCGACGAAACTCCGTTCCCCGTTGAGAACACTGGCGACAACACGGCCATGGCTCTCAGG